CAGCCTGCGCCCGCGGACGGAGCCGACCCGTCGCCCGCCGAAGAACAAGAGACCCGGCCCGACGGAGAGGGCTCCCCGGGCAAGGCCAGGCCGGGCGCAGCCCGCAGGCCCGGGGCCGCCGCGTCGGCGGACCGGGACGACCGGGGGGCCCCCACCAGCGTGGCGGCGCTCAGGTCCAACTTCGAGAGGATCCGCAAGGGCCATGGCCAGCCCGGGGCGACTGACGCCGACAAGCCCTTCTACGTAAACGTGGAGTTTCACCACGAGCGCGGCCTGGTGAAGGTCAACGACAAAGAGGTGTCGGACCGGATCAGCTCCTTGGGTACCCAGGCCATGCAGTTGGAGCGCAAGAAGTCCCAGCAGGGCACCGGGCAGGGCCTGGGGGACACGCCCAGGCCCGCGTACGGGGGGCGCTCTTCGGAGAGCGGTTGCGGCGTCGACTGCGACTACGAGGACGCCGAGTTGAACCCCCGCTTCCTGAAGGACAACCTGATCAACGCCAATGGCGGCAGCAGACCCCCTTGGCCGCCCCTGGAGTACCAGCCCTACCAGAGTATCTATGTCGGAGGCATGATGGGGGAAGGGGAGGGCAAGGGCCCCCTCCTGCGCAGCCAGAGCACCTCCGAGCAGGAGAAGCGCCTCACCTGGCCGCGCAGGTCCTACTCCCCCCGGAGCTTTGAGGACTGCGGAGGCGGCTACACCCCGGACTGCAGCTCCAACGAGAACCTCACCTCCAGCGAGGAGGACTTCTCCTCCGGCCAGTCCAGCCGCGTGTCCCCAAGCCCCACCACCTACCGCATGTTCCGGGACAAGAGCCGCTCACCCTCGCAGAACTCTCAACAGTCCTTCGACAGCAGCAGCCCCCCGACGCCGCAGTGCCATAAGCGGCACCGGCACTGCCAGGTTGTCGTGTCGGAGGCCACCATTGTGGGCGTCCGCAAGACCGGGCAGATCTGGCCCAGCGATGGAGACGCAGGTGGGTACTCGGGCCGCCTTGTATGGGCACACCTGTACCAGGGCAGAAAGCCATATAGGGGTGGGGACACAAAAGGAGAAGTTGTGGAGGGAGGAATGGGTACTTTTTGGAGTGATTTTCAAGTGCTGCTTCACGTTGGTCTGCGCCTGAGCTTGATAGAACTTCATCCCCTCTTTCATCCTGAATGCAGATTCTCAGTACTTGGAATGGCATTGGGTTAGGGGGGAAGATGGGAGATGGCTTGTTCCTTTGGTCCAAGAAGAGTGTCTGCTTCTTGCAAAAGTACGGTGTATGAGTTATAGGTAGATGCCCTGGGTGGTAATCTCCCTGCCCTGTGAGCAGTGAGGATGGTGTAAAGCTGGAGTCATCTCGGCTGCTTAGATTGGTTGCTTTTAGGAGATTCTGATGTGTATCCTGGGCAATCACCCATCACCCTACAGTTCCTGTCCTGGAGGACCTCTAGCTGCTCCTAGGCTGTGGAAGTGTCAGGTTCTCTTGCTAGCTAGCAGCCCAGAAGGCAAGTCACCGCAGGCAAATTAGAAGGAAGTGAGGTGACAGGCTGTTCTGACTCAGTTGCCCACGGAGCTTCAGCAGGGTAAAGATTTTATCCAGAGCTGAAGCAGAGCCACACCCGTTCTGATTCGCCTTAGCTTTCTTTGATGGGAATCCTCCCCCCCTTACTCACCCACAGGTTCCTCCATATGTGTTAACCCAGTCCTGTTTGCTGAGTCTCCACTGTGCTTCTGCCTCCTCATCTTCCCAAGATGAGCACCCACAGGTGCTTATTTGGGGCTCCCAATCCGTGATCAGGCCCTGGCCCTAGGATTAAACCTCTGGTGCATACAGACAGCATTCGTCTGTCTGGAGTGCAGGCACTGTTTGTGTTTGGGGTAAAGGAAAGGGTGGGCAGGCTGGGGTGTGTGAGGCTGTTGGGAATCCCTTGGAGTCCTGGCCCCTGGTGGGCTGATCTGGTTTTCTGCTCCATTGATTTTTCTTTTTCTGCTGATGAAGTTGGATGTGCTTGGTTTGGCAGAATCCTTTTGAAACAAGTGGGGCTATTTTTGGCTGTGTGGAGCTGCCTTTTAGCGACCAGCACTCTGTACTGTTTGTATTAGGTACTTCCAGTTTGTAGCTGGGTTGGCTGAGCTCAAACCTGCAGCCTCATTCCCTAAGTCCCTAGTGGGCGGTGGAAGGCTGTTGAGTTCAGCAGCCTGCTTTGCCTGTACATCAGCTCATTTGGGGGCTGGAGGACTGCCTTGTGGTTTCTGGGCACCAGCCTTGTCCAGCCAGCTGTGGGCCAGAGGAGCCAGCTTGAACTGGCCCCTCAGCTATGGTGTGAGAGAACGTTATGAATAAAGAATAAAATGAGAGGTTTTCATGGAGACCTGAGATCTGAAATGATATTCTCTTGCTGATGGGAATTCTGGGTTTCCAGAAAGTTGGGGCCCAGCCTTTCCTGCATAGATGTGGCCATGCTGCCCACCACTTCTTCAGAGCCCAATGCAAGCCAGAAGGTGAAAATAGGAATTAGAACAGTGGTTCTCAACCTTCCTAAAACCGCGACCCTTTAATACAGTTCCTCATGTTGTGGTGACCCCCAACCATAAAATTATTTTCATACACCTGTTTTTGTACGGGGTGTATGTGATAGTTTTAGACAACCCATGTGAAAGGATCGTTTGACCTCCAAAGGGGTCGCAATTCACAGGTTTGAGAACTGCTGAATTAGAAGGAAATGAGGCCTGGAACCTGGAGTCACACAGGTTCTTAGGAGCTCACTGAGGAGTTAATTTTACCCCTTGGACCCCCTTGCAGGACTTTCTGGATCCTTCTCTGAATATCCCAAAGGTTCCATGTTCTCTTTCCTAATAGGTTTTGTCTTTTCTCTAAGACACTTTTGAGGATAAAGGTGATTTAAACGTCATTTAAAAGAGATTACATTATTCCCCTCAGTTTTTTTATAAAGGTGTAATGTTTTGAGAGCACTTACAGGTTCATAGCAAAATTGACACCCGCACAGCCACCAGAGGGGCACGTTTGCTAGAGCTCATGAACCTGCATTGACACATCATTATCACCCCAAGTCCAGAGTTTATATTCCAGTTCACTACTGTACAATTCCCCAGTTTGGATCCTGTTAGGTTTTTAAGCTCCTAGTGGTTTTAGCCCTGGGAGCCTTTACACTCTGCCCAGCAGTCTCTTCTGATGTTTGACCATGTGTGGCTGGCGGGAAAAGAGGGTTCCCCGGCTCAGCCATCTGTCTCTGTCCAACTATTTACTGATGTTCTTTAGATGGCTGCGGAGCCTGCTAGGCTGAAAAGGAACAGTGAGGAAAATCCCGGTGGGGTGAGGGGGTGGAAGTCACCCTAACACTTTGCAGCGGCAGACCTGGCAGCCTGGCTCTAGTAACTTCATAGTCAATCCATTTGAATGAGTGAGCTGTCCTGTTTCTGAGTTGAGGGTCCTTGGTATTGAAGGGAAGGAGCTAAAGTAAGGTGACCAGACGTCACAATTTTGGCGGGACAGTCCCACTTTTCAACAATTTGTCCTGTGTCCCCCGGCCTTGCCTGGCGCCGTCCCCTTCTTTTCCGCCCCCCGTTCCTCCCGGGCCTTGCCTGGCGCCGTCCCCTCCCCCCCGCCCCCCCCCCCTCCCCCTCCCGCGCCACGCCAAAACCTAAGTTCCCCGAAAATATTTCTAAGTCCCGACCCGGACATCTGGTCTACCCGCTGTCGCTTCGAACGAGCCTAACACCTGCCTGGGACATCTGGTCGACCCTGGAGGTCAAGGCGGGAGGCGGACGCGGT